ATAAGGTAATATTTTACTCATTTTAATGATAATTATTTTATTTATTATTGTTCAATCACATTATTATAATCAGTGCAGGAGAGTGTATCTACATCCATTGCAAAACAAAAATATTCTCCAAAAATAAGAAATAATACAGATGCAACTATGATTGCAGTTAATGTAATCACTTATCTTGTACTACAACATTCACAGAGCTACTTATCATTACAATGTAGGTAGAATCTTTCCCCATAATATTTAACGACTCCAAGATAAATGAAAACTTTAGTTGTAGAACAAAAATGAGCAAGGATATCATCAATGTTTTAGAACCTGAATTCATGAGGTCAATTCTTGACGATGGGCATACATATGCAATTTTAACAGATGCATCTAATAAGGGAAATATTAAAATATTTCTTTTGATCCTACTCTATTTCAACAAAATCAACGACGTTTCAAGAAAACTATTAATTTTTTTCCCCTCAAATAGTGAAAAATCCAAAGACATAGCTAACCATAATGGTAAATATAGCAGATTCGGGATTATCAATAAATTACATGTCAACTTTCTGATCTGTTAATGCTTCAGTGAATTTGGAAAAGACCAGAGTGTATTTACAAAATTGAGTCAGCACAAAGTTGGTTGCGATATGTTCCTAATACCATCTATAGAATTTTAAAATTTTATAAACCTTTAAATATTTCTTAAATAAAGATTATAAAAGCTGCCCTAACATTTTGAAAGTTTTTTTCAGTAATTAATGGCAGGGGTATATTTAGGAATGATTTCACACGTAGGAAATCTACTACATACTGTTAATATGCAGTTGCAAGCAGAAGAATCTTAACAAAGATTCACAAAATTATGGTGCAGATGCAGAGTTGTACAAAAGATCTTCTTTGAAGATTTTTGAGCGAGATCTAGCTCAAAAATTTGAGCAAGATCTTTGAAGATCGTAATTTGAAGATCTTTTATTTTTTAAAAATTTTGTGTAACGATCTTCAAAGATCTTCATGATATTTATTTTTTTACCCCTTTATTAAAAGCCCAGATGTTTTTCAATTTTCATCAAGGCAGGAGGAGAGGTATAAAACATAAAAGAAATATTATATTAATAAAATTGAAAAACATCTGGGCTTTTAATAAAGGGGTAAAAAAATAAATATCATGAAGATCTTTGAAGATCGTTATACAAAATTTTTAAAAAATAAAAGATCTTCAAATTTTACGATCATTGACAATAAATTTTATGGTGCCATTGATAAAACTATATTAAAATGTTTAAATATTTTAAAAATACCGATAGAGATAGACATTGATGTCTTGTTTGAGGATATTGTAATGCTCTCTATTTTTGATTTACAATGTAATAAATATATTATTTTATGCGAATGTATAAATAAAAATATATGGAAAATTAAATATAATGTTAATTATATATTAATTGAGATTTAAATAATGGAACTAAACATTTACCGTCGTTATTGAGATATTTATAAAATTCCTGGCATGACATTTTATAAATTTGTTTAACTATTAGCTCGGCCCCTAATGTTGTTAAAGTAATCCTTTTTCCAGGCAGTCCTCATCAGGCTAAAAATGCTCGGATAAGGCATTAAAATGAGGTAAAGAAGACATACTCGCAATTTTTTTTCCAAGCATGGGGATTTATTGTTATAATTCTACCCATTTCTCCTCGCTTTTAGACAATTTAACTTTAAGTATTCTGGCGAATCATAAAAAATAGAGAGAATTACAATCTCCTCAAACAAGACATCAATGTCTTTTGTATTTTTAATATATTTATTAAATTACAAAAACCATCAATTGACAGTTTCTATTCCAAGGTCATAATATTTATACATTTGTAAATAGAGTTATTAAAATCAAATTTTGATCGTAAATATTCTAAAATTGTCTTAATAAAAATATCTGCTTCATTTAAAGATGTATTAATTAGAGTATTATTTGAACATTTAATATTTTTAGCAAGAGTGTCATAAAATTTATTATCAATTTTTAACTGTAGAGATGAACAGAGCTGTAGCATGATTTTGTGAATCTTTATTAATAAAGAATATTCTGATTGCAACTGAATATTAACTGCATGAAGTTAATTTCCTACATGTGAAACCAATCCCAAATATGCTTCTGCCATTTCATACTTGAAAAAAATTTTCAAAATTTTAGGACAGCTTTTTTTGAGGGTTAAAATTCTATCGATGGCAAGTATTAACGATAAGCACCTACAACTCACACCATTCCAAGTCAGACCACTCCATCCACTCTTTTAATTCATTAACTCTTTTAGTTGATGAATTAAATTCGTTAAAATATCTCATCATAATTATTTCTACATCCACAGATAGTCATTGCCTTCTTGCAAGAATCATGTAGTATATGGCATATACAGTTAATTGGTATTAATTCATTATTGTGCTGCCTCAATTAGGTAAATACACTTTGGTTTTTGCCAAAATTTACAGACATTATCAGCACAGAAAGCTGACATGCAATTCATTGATAACCCTGAATCAGCTATATTTACATTATGTGGTTAGCTACATCGTTGAATTTTTCACTATCCGAGGAAAAAAATTTAACAGTTTTATTGAAATGTTCTTATGTTGAAATAGCAAAAGATCAAGGGAAATGTTTTAATATTTCCCTTAGATGCATCTGTCAGAATTGCATATGGATGCCCATCTTTCAAATCGTCTAGAATTGACCTCTAGGATTCGGGTACTAAAACACTTGTGATAGCCTTGTTCCTTTTTGTTCTACCACAAGTAAGGTTTGCACTTATATTGGAGTCGTTAAATATCATAAGAAAAAGATTCGACCCACATTGTGATGATATAGCTCTGTGAATGTTGAACTACATGATAAATGTATACGATTTCCGCAACTGTAGTTGCATCTGTATTATTTATTATTTTTGGATAATATTTTTGTTTGCAATCGATGTTGAAATACTCCTCTGTAATGATGAAGGAAATGATATTGATTTATTTTTGGATAAAAATAAAACAGGATAGAAAGAAATTTACAAACTAGACATGTTTTTCGAATAAATATTTAAAATTTATTTTAAAAATATAAAGATAATCAATTACTGTCTCTCAAAATTATTATTTATATATTAAAAACGTTAAAAACTTTTAAAAAAAATTGCCGTAGATTTTTGTGGGAGATTTCCAATTTCGGTAGTTTTGCGGGAGAGAAATGTCTGCGTGTAAACTAAAAAATTGCGGGAGTCTCCCGCTGATGGGGGTGACAACCCTGTTCATAACTTGAATTCACAACTTGAATTCACAACTTGAGTTTGAGTTAGTCGACATATTCGACTAACGACTCGAGACTCTGATTCGGAGTCGGATGAACTCGACTTTTTAACAACACTAATCGAAAGTAAATGAACAAATGAGTATCCACGGACTTCATAAAGAGAAATTATATCACGCAATATAATTTTGAATCCATCGTTTTTATGCTAAAATTGTTATAAATTTTTAGAGATAGAGCCAAATATATAAATTAAAATATCTGCAAATGACAGGATTTTCATTGGATGCAAACCCCCTTCAAAAACTTTTGCCTACCCCCCCCCTAAAAAATTTTCGCCGCCTTCGGCGGCGGTGTCTTTTTATTTTGAAGAATTTATAAAGATAACTTAAATTTATCTATCTCTACCAACTAATTTTTTGATTATAATTAATTTATTTTTTTGATTATAAAGAATTTATTTTTTTGATTATAAAGAATTTATTATTTTGATTATAAAGAATTTATTTTTTTGATTATAAAAATTTATTTTTTTGATTATAAAGAATTTATTTTTTAGATAAAAATTCAATCAAAATCTCCATTATTTACAATGAATTAATTATTATGGCATTATGAGCTTGCTGATATATCTAAACCTTTTAAATGTAATTTAAAAGGATAGCAGAAAGTTTTATTTGGAAAACAATATGTATGATTGTTTGCAATATATAGATTTGGTCGATAATTGTATTATAATAATTCTATAATAAAAGTATTAATTTTTACAGCAATTAATTTTGTCCTATTTCATCTCAAAATTTAATAGATAACCCCCCAAAAATTGATCCGACCCCCATTAAAGCAGCTTACCCCCTACACCCTCAAAAAAATAGGATGCAAACTGTTCCTACCCCTCCCGCTCATGTAGACGATGAGTTATATACACATTCTGTTAGATTTTAATTATTTAAAATTATTGATATATAAATGCAATAAAAATAAGCGATTTTTTATAAATCAATAAAATTTTCTTAACTCGTTTAAATTTCCTACTGGTAACCCTATTTTAATGTAATTTTATTGATTGTGGACCTCTCTAATTTTACTCGCATCATCTAAATTAAAACAATGATTGGGCCTAGATTCACTTTCTATCACCATATTTTTTATCCCTGACACGCTTTGTTAAAAATAGTGTTGCTAAACGGCTTGTTATGAGCCGATTTTTTAAAACGGCTAACTCAATATTTTAGCCAGAAAAATTTTGCATAAGCCTCGAGATTTCGTTAATATATGTCTACACCATTGTTCCTTCTATGAGCAAAATCTTCAGGCTTATATAGTTTTTTTCTGGATGAAATATTGAGTTAGCCGTTTTAAAAATCGGCTCAAAACGAGCCGTTTAACAACACTAATTGAAAAGAAATATATATAATCAAATGGTTTACATAAGCACTAGACTTTCATTGTTACGGACCTATAAATTTAAAAAAAATGTTTTGTTCAATCATAAAATATATTATTTAAAACCATATGATTATATAAATTCTAATAAACATGTTAAAATAACATTATTTGATATGTATTTTATACATATTAGATATTTCAGAAATAATATAAATAAAGTTATTATACAAAAATTACCTCTGTTAATTTATAATTTATTTACATTATATATTATATAATTCTTAAATTTATTTTATATTTTAACAGTATTTAAACGTATATTTTTATAGCCGAGTTATATTTAAACGGAATTGATTTTTAACCAAATTCGCCATATTTGTTAAATTGAATTGATAGTTTCGAGAAAGGTTGCAGATTGATATAATGAGTTCTTGTTATAATTGTGGAAAAAGTGGCCATATGTCACGGGAATGCACAAAACCAAAAGTTTCTAAGAGACCTGAAGGTGGTAGTGGTGGTACTGGAAGGAGCGGAAATTTTAAAGGTTCATCGGCAGGAGGAGGTTCGTGAGTGATGTTTAAATTATATAATAAAATTAATTCATAGAGAAATGTTACAAATGTAATAAATCTGGGCACTTCGCCAGAGAATGTAAAGAAGGCGACAAGTGCTATAAGTGTAATAAAGTAGGGCACATAGCTCGTAATTGCACTGAAGCTTCGGATGACTCCCCAAGAGGCGAAAGAAATAATTCATGTAAATATTCTTTTATAAAAAAGTTTTAAAATGATCTTAGCTTGTTTCAATTGTGGAAAACCTGGACATGTGCAACGTGACTGTACTGAAAGCAGCAATAATAGTAAGACATGTTATATATGCAATCAACCAGGCCATTTGTCTAGAGATTGCCAAGAGAAAAACAATAGAAATGAGAAATCAGTATGCATTAACATCTAAATACCTAATTTTGTTTTTAAGTGTTTTAGTTGCAAGAAACCAGGGCATTTTAGCAGAGATTGCCCAAATTCTTTTGATGAGGAAAAATGCAGAAATTGTGGAAAATCTGACCATATAAGTAGAAATTGCACAGAGCCTAGATGGGAACAGGGAGGAAGCCGAAATAGGCGTAGAAACTTTAATCAAGATAATTTTGATAGGGACAATAATGACAATGGTTTTGATAATAATCAAGGTATTTTTCAATAATATGAATATATATAATTTTGTATTTTAGATTCTTTTGGGGGAAGAAATGGTAGATTTCAAAAAAGTATGGATGATCAAAAATGCTTTAAATGTGGAGAGGCTGGTCATTTTGCAAGAGACTGCACCTCAAGTACCCCAAGATCTAATGACAGAGAGGATAACAGAGAATGTTATCAATGTGGTAATCATGGACATATTGCTAGAGATTGCCCAGACAAGGGTTCTTCTAATAATGGAGGAGGTAGGAGAGAAGATAATAGAACTTGTTACACATGCAAAAAAACTGGCCATATAAGCAAGGATTGTACTGAATCTAATGCAAGCAATGGTAGATCATGCTACAATTGTGGCAAAAGTGGACATATCAATCGAAATTGCCCTGAAGGGAATGTAAGAAGTTCATCAAATCAGGATTGCTATAAATGTGGTCAAATTGGACATATTGCAAGAGACTGTAAAGAAAATGATGATCAGATATGTGACAAGTATATAATGATATAAATGTTATGTATTTTTAATATTTGAAAGGTGCTCGATACCTGGTCACAGTAGTGATTCATGTAAAAAATGCTTCAAGTGCCAGAAATTTGGTCATATATCTGTGAACTGTGAGGAATTGGTGTCAGAAGCTTGAATTACCAAATTATAATGACCAATTTACAAGAAGAATAGATTGTTTTCAATTTACAATTTTTTTGGGTTAGAATATCATTTATAATGGATTAAATGTTTATATCCAAAATTTGTAAAAAGTTTTGTATTTTTTGGACATTTCTTATTATATACATGAGTTATTTTGAAGTTTCCTTTATATTATAGTTATAGCGTACCAAATTGATATCTTTGATTTACTTTACCCCACTTTATACTATATTCCTAAATAGATAATTTTCTTTGTGTTGCTTAATTTGTTCACAGATAAAAAGTTTTATAAATAGAAAATATGAGATTTGTGTTTTCTGTAAATATATGTATTTTGGTGAATTCACAAATAATATAAGCCCTTTCACCAGGATCAGTAAACTATTAGGCGATATTCATTATCCCCTGTAGGTTTCTCATACTCATCGCCCCAAGAGTAATATATATCAATGTTTTAAAATTCTCTTAAATTGACATTAGCCAAAAATTTAACAATATCATTAACTCACCGTTATTTTACAAATCATAATCAGCTCCAAGCTACTTCTGTTTTTTATAAGCCCCTTCCAACATAATTTTATACCCACCCATGAACACTCATGTATTTTTTTTTACAAATTATTGCAAATTTATTATTTTTTTATTTCAAAAATTTATATAAGATTGATGTCATATATTTTTTGATATTCATATATATATATATATTATAAAAACCTATATTATAATAAATGATCTTTATCAATATCTGTTGTAATTATTTTAAATTAGTTAAATGAAATTTGAATTGCAAGTAAAGAATGGGAACCATCCTGAGCAAATCTTTTTCTTTATTGGTGTGGGTGCACTAAAAAACACCATTTTGCGGAATGCTTATTGGGTAGGACTATATGGTTGATTGCCTCAAATTGAGCCACTTTTAATGGTTAATTTAATATTTTACTATGATTTTGCTCAGATGGCACAAAGGTTCATAAATCTCAAGGCTTAGGCAAAAATTATCTGACTAAAGCATCTAGTTTGCCTTTTTAAAAAATTGTTTAACATTAGGTAGAACTAGATAACAAATTTTTTAATAAAAAGATCAAATTAATATATTATATCTAATCAGTATTAAAAAATTTGATTTTTTTAAAGTTAGAATACAATGCCAAGCAAGATATTATCTTAAAATTTTATCAGAATTTTCCTACCCTTGGAAAATTATAATTTTTGTTGTATTAAAAGTTCTAGAATTTTAAGTTTACACTAATTTAATTTTATAACAAACTCATTTTAGACTTAAAATATATTTGGTAGGTCATAAATAGTAGAGTATTTTTCCATACAACATTGTTAAAGCTTTAAAATACAATAATATCAACAGCCATCCACCTGACCCAAATTGAAGTTTAGATAAGTTTTGTTTTGTAAATCAAGAATCTTTCAATATAAAGCTATAATCATTTATAAAAATTTTGCATAATAGTGTTATGTCCCACATTCAACAGCAATGTATCCCTAATAAAAGGGAGTAAAATTATTTGTTATGGTAAACATGCCAACAGATGTCCTTCATCAGGCACTTTCTTTAACAATAACAAACTTGTTATGGCACCATCTTATTATCATGCCCTTATAATAGCATCAATATGGAAATAATTCCTACAATTTCAAGTTTTAACAATACCTTCAATACAAAAACAATCCCTAAATCAAGCCCATATAATAATATTAATTCAACCTCTATTGTTTAAGCACAAAAATGGGTATATAAATTTATGAAGGAAAATCTCACCCACAGCTTGCATTCTAAAAGTTGCTCGAAACCTATATTCACAAAAACTATTACCTATTTTAACCTTGTTAAATAATATCAAAGGTTTAGATCTCTTATCATTTATTTAACTACAACTTCCAATATCAAAATCAAATTTAACACAAAATTTCAAAATAATTGAATTCAAATCATACTAGCTATTTTGATATACACAAACAACCTATACATTCTTTCAATAAGCTTCTGACAGATAAAAATAGGCTAAGCTTATTGATAATAAAATCAATTTATGCAATGTAAATTCAACTATCTATCAACATATCTTTTCCAGTGATACTATGCCCCCCAATGATGAAAAAACTATATGTCCATACACTAAACATCTGGTTCCCGTTCTAAATTGCTAAAAATTGGGACTCTGGCTTATATCTCCTAGAAAATTTTTAAAGGAAATTTGAAATTAATATTAATAGATGCTAGGGGAATAAACACTTGTATTTAAATCGAAAATTTAAAAAAAAAGTTGCTAAAATGGATGATATCCAAAATCCCAGTTTTGGGAATCATAGAAGTTTTCTAGGAGATAACTAGATTCCCAATTTTTAACGATTTAGAACCTATTTCTAACATCCTCAGACTTTTTATTTACTTAAAATTTTTTTTATTCATTCATAAAATTGTACATGCCATTCGTTCATCAACAATTTTCATGTCCCCTAGATCTTGAAGTTCATTTAAAAAAATACTCTTAAATCTATTTTAAATATCAAATTCTTATCACTCCTGGATTCAAGCTACCCTTCCACCAAAGCTAGGTGATATAGGTATCCATTTCCCCATATCCTTAAGCATTTCAACCTTTTTATCCTCAGTTGCTAAATTTCGTTACACACTTGGAGACTTGTATACTATCGATCCACATCATATAGCAGCATTAGACCTTTGGAACAAAATTGCTTCAAGCCGAAAATTTTCATTGCTCTATCTTCACCTAAACCCAACCCATATAGAGAATGGCAACAATACGACTCTTGCCAGATCAAATAATTCCAGCCTCAGCCATATGCCATCTTGGTTACGAATTGAAAACTATACCTAATTCTTATTTAGGCTTTACTAACCAAACGACTTTTAATAGCTATTAGTCTTCGTTTAGGCTCTGAAATCGTAACGCCGACATCATGTGTCCTATGTGAAACTAATATCGATACCCTTGGACATTACCCCCTTCACTGTGATTTTTCAAAAGGCATATCCAGACACTATGCCTTCAATTCGATCATCAATAGAATCTTGAAATCCACAAATATTCCTTCTACGCTGGAACCTCTGGCCTCAGCCCTGATAATCAAACCAGACCTGATAGAATGATGCTAGTCCCTTGGAACCAAGATATACCCCTCGCTTGGGATTATACATGTCTAAATCATTTTGCCAGATTTTTTTCTGTCAACTCCATCCTTTATATATACATAAATTTTTTTTAATTGGTTTAACGACACATTAAATTTTAATTAGTCGCATGCACACTTTTACACTTTTCTCATTCATTTGTGAGAAAAAATTGGCAGAAAAAATTAATACCATTATTTACTACACTAGGTAAAACTTGATTTAAAAAAATATCATCCAAAATATAGCCACCTTAATAATCTTTTGTTTGTTCCGGCTCAGACACATGTGGATCAAATGGACCCCAAGCCCTAAAATTATTCAAAACAATAGGACAAAGGTTACTTTTAATTACAGATGATCCAAAAGAAGGCTTCTACCTACGACAAAGAATATTAATCGAAATTTATCGATCCAACTGTATATCTATACATGGGTCATTAAGCCCCGTCGACCAAATCTATATATTTTTTTTTAATTTCTCTTCTTTTGATTATATATTTTTATATAGAATATAGACATAGTATGTTAATTATGATTTTAATATTTTATTGAACTAATTGATATAAATGAATTGAATAATTAATTTGTTTATAAGCTTTTTAATTATATAACACTATATCTAAGTATAGAATATAAAAAATTATTAAAGAAACAGGTAGAAATTGATATTAAACAATTTTCTCTTAATACAATGTTAAAATAATTATGGAATACAGCTTTAAAATATAAATGATTTCCTAAAATTGAGATTTTGTTAGAAATGTCTTAGATTAGAAGGAAATTACAAATTAGAATGTAAATATTATGTAAAGAATTAAAATACTCTTCTATATCCATTAATATAAAGGAAATACAATAATATAACATAATAAAAAGCATTAGTTTAATTTATATTATTTGTCTATTTCATAATAAAAAAAAAGATTTCTTTTGATGCTTTTTTTTTGTTTTACAGGCATATTTAATGTGAAGGAAGGGCTGTTTTTTAAAACCAAATTTAAAGGGCATGACATGTCCAAAGAGACTTCTCTCTGAGATTGTAAAGGCGATGACACCCCTGCAGCTAATCCGTTTGGACAAAGGAATACATGTAAATGTATGTAATGTAGTGTTGTTAAACGCCTGTTTGGATTGATTTTTATAAATGGCCTGATAATTATTTTAGCCAAAAAAATATTATGTTAGCCTAGGGGTTTTACTTAGGTGGAAAATAGGTTTGATCTATTTGCCAAATTTTTGGGCTTACATAATATTACTTTCGCTAAAATTTTAATTGGATCATTTTTAAAAATCTACCCAGATTGAATCACTAAATAACACTTAAATGTATGCAATTAAATTTGAATAAGTCTTGAAATTGAGTACCTGATTTGTAACATGCTAAAGTGACATTCCATTCCATTAGATTTTATTTTATATCTATTTCTAACCCCGGAACTGCTGATTTTCAAATATTTAAGAGATCCAATTTTTTTAGTGGATTTTAGTCCTGAATACTGTACTTCACCGAACTACCCATTGATTCAAAGATTTAAAGAATAATTGGGTGTCATTTCTATTCAAATCATAAATTAATCAAGATTTGTTTGATATAATATTTTGAAAGTTATGATATTTTAATTAGAATGTGTTGATATTGAATTAAACAGATACATAGGCACCTAAAGTTTTTACCTATCACAATTATAAAAATATCCTGTAAACACTCAAAATTATATGGAAATTTCTTACTGATTTATCTATCATTTATTTTAGTTCAAATTGGTTATCCTGAAATTAATATAATTAACAAATTTATGGGTAATTTTTCATTAAAAATATAATTTTAGATGGCACCTTTTAGGTTATTTTGACCAGTTTTCACTTTTAAAATATGGGCTTTTAATATTGATGCATCTATAAAATTGAATTACCTATCTCTTAAAATCCATTTTATGCAGGAATCCAAAGAGCCTTTCAAATTGCACTGAAGTTGGGCTCAAAAATTTTAATATTCCTGGCTATGCTTGGGCATAAATTTTTTAAATACTTCGGGCTGCGCGCAGGCTGAAAAATATGTCGGTATGAGCTGATACTAACGGGGAGGGCCTCGTAAGAAAAAAAGAAATCGAAGTTTTGTAGTTTTTAAATTAATTTTTTGTATTTTTGTCTTGTTTAACTTGGATAATGTATTTACATATTTTTTTGTTTATAGTTTTCTCCTGTTTTTTAAATATATTTAATTTTTTTTAAAAATATTTACTTAATTATATTCAGAGTTTGGAACTTCAGAATTCTAGGAACTGGAACTCTTTTAAGACTGAATTTATAGTGCGATCCAATCAGTCAGGATATAACAGCTGATCGATTTTAAAAATCTTTAAAAGAAATTCTTCGATTATTATAATGGAATTAAAGTTAAATTAATATAAATAAATGGATCTCACTAGCAAATTTTAAAAATAGATCAGCTGTTAAATTGTACTAGTTCAAATCACACTATGGTCTAAAATTTAGGGATTGGAACAAAAATTTATGATAAATCCTTGAACCAGTTCTAACAAAGTGTAAATATGATATTGTTCAAAATGCTTGTCAATATTTTAGAGGGCTT